AAGCCAATTTTCAGGCGAATCTTGTCTATATCTATACTCCTATCATAACCGCATAGTAAGGCCCTAATAAGTGGAACGAATACGATTTCTGTAATTAGTACGTCAACAAACTTCTTGGGGGAATTTTGAGCGAAATCCAATTGGAAGTTGGGCACTTAAAGCGGAAAAGTACCGAGCATTGAACTTTTTCATAGATCTAATTACAATTCAATGCTTACGATGAACCCTTTCAATCTACATCTCAAAAAAAGGTATGTTTTCCTTTTCTTCCAAACATTAGCGAGTCATTAGTTGTATTTCGTTCATCGCTTCGAAGGCAATTTGGTTACGACATTCAGGAATTGATGCAGAAACAAGCATGCGAGATAGCATAGAGCATATTCGAAAATTGCATTAGCCACAATAATGTTATATGCAACAAAGAATCCTCATTTTCAGAAGCAAATAACAATGCCATGATAGAATTCCCGCAAATCTGTGGAAAGAAGAAACGAATTGTCTGACTAGGCAAGAGAAGCATAAACTTGCTGACTTAGATCCCACTTAAAGGTATATTTACTAAACTAACTTGGACCTAAAAAATTATTAGAATTTACACTGAACAAAAAGAAAAGTATTGAAAAGAACACACCAGATACACCTATTGAAATAAGCCCATTGTACTTAATAAGATGAGCAACCGTTTCTACAAGGTATTCCTTGATATTGTGACACAACTCCTCTCGCGTCTGTGCAGTGACAGTGTAAGGACGATCCTTCACAACAGTCATCACGAAGCGACGCAAAAAACCACCTGCGAAAAAAAATGCAAATTTTTAAATTCGACATTCAACTAATTGCGATAGATAAGGTAGACCTTATTGATGGCGTTTAACCAGCTAGCAACTATGCACAAAAGTACAGTTTCTATAATTTCATTCATAGTCAAAAGCACAACAATAACAAAAAAGAATTTAGTTCAACACAGAGATTCATTTTAACGAGTTTGTCTTGTAATTGCTTCAAGAGCTGTTTCTTTTTCTCGATTTTCCTCTTCAGCAAAAGCAATGTACTTCACTTTGGGCACTAAGGACGACACCACCTCGGGGAGAGCAAGATCCTTTATCTAAAATAAAGAAATTCTGGGAAAAAAACTATTTCCAAACAACACTGTTAAGAAGATAACTGACCTTGTACGGCAATGACGACTTATAGGCTGCAATAATAGTTATATCATAGATACAGATAA